GAGAGCGTAAGCCAGGGGTTAGGTTAAATTGCCTAGTGCTCTCATTCCTGTATTTAGGTTTTTGAAGGTTAGCGGGGGGAGGAATGGGGCAAAAGAGCTGCTTTCACAGGTAGGTAGTGTCAGAATTGAGTTGAATGGTAGGACACTCAACTGGCGCTGGAAAGCTGCTTGTTGGTGTGGGGAAGCCTCTTGAATGTTGGAATTGGTCCCAGAATCATTACAAGTGAATCACACAACCACACTGAGATACAGGGGTGGGGAAGAAAGAACTTTCAGAAACAGTGTTTTGACTGGGAACCATGAGGCTAAAGACAGAACTGGACACAAGCACTCTGATTAATTTGATTCTCACAGTGGTATGTAGCAGTTCTGAAATGATTTTATATGTGGACTAGGTTTGAAAAAGCAAATTCATCCTAGATCATGAGTCATAGGCAGGTTTCTCAGTGTCAGAAGTTACCATAAGAAAATCTGACTAGAATGAACACTGTGAACTCTGGTACTAGAATGGAATCAAAATACGAAGAAAAGAATACACATTCATGTACACGTGCAGTGAGGAGAGGCAGGAGGGCACATGTGGTGGGAACCAATGACTGTCGCAGTTTAAGATGAAGCCCTCTTGTTTTATCAGAACTTGTCCTTTGGAAAAGCCGAGGTGGGTCTCAGCACCTCTCCTGTGTCTTCTTTTTACCATTCAGACATGCGAAAGCTTCTTGACTTGAAGCGCTTTAAGGATGTTTCAAACAGTACTTTGTCAGCTGGAGCGTAATGGAGAAAGATTGTGATCCACTCACACGAGTTTAGCAAAAGTTTCACCAGGACACTCAGCAGTCAGGTGTTCTTAACCTGTGTTTGTGCCATCTGTGGAAAGTAGACAGCAGTGTAGTCGAATTTTTAGACCTTTTCTCAAAATGTTTTAAAATGCATAAATTTAAATATATAGGATCACAGAGGAAATCAGTTACAATAAAAGTGATTAAAATATTTTACATTGCGATATAGGACTATGTGCTTCTTAAATAAGACCTGACAGCAGTTTGAATAACTACTATAATTTTGAAGTAGTGATGAGCAACAACAGTATTTCAACTGTTATTTGATATAAAAATATCTGTAATTTCTTTTAGTGACAGTCACAGATAACTCAGTACTCCTGTAACTTGTTGCCTACATTCATAATCAAAGTGAATGCTACATTTCAGTTAGAGGTTCGTGAAATAAAATATAGTTTTTCCCCCATCCAAGTTTGTGGACTTTGTTGTTCTGCCTTTAGGAGTCTGCAGACCCCAGATTTGATCATCAGGACTTCTAGGTGCAACAGAACTCTAGGCAGTTGAGTAGGAAACAGATGAGACTCAAGCTTCGAAAAGTATTTGGCAAGGCATAAATAACCATTATTCCATTCAAGTAGCAATTGCTGCTGTATACAAAAAAATGTGATGATGTGGTACAATGGCTTATAACTGTGGAAAATCATTTTGATGGAGTGGGCACCAAATCTCCAGAGGCTGAGGTCAACACTGAAGGGCAGGGGACAGTTGAAAATCATCGTGGAAACCTTGGGCTGAGCGGTTAAAGGCAAGGCAAGGAAACATCTCCTTTATTAAAAGCTGTCATGTGTTAAAAGGAAATTTTTTTTCTGCCAAAAAGGATAGGTGTTATCTTTCAATGCTTCGGTTAAAAATGGATTCCATTCACTTAGCGTATATAGCCACTGTATTTTATGATAAGTATCTTCAATAATCTCCCCCTACACTTGTATACCACTTTTTAAAGTACGTTTGCTTCTCTTATCTTGTGTCTAAAGTAATTGCTATGTGTTGAACAGTCATCTATTTTGTCAGTAGCAATATTGAGACTAAGGGGGTCACAGTTGTGTCAGCAGGGAAAAATGGGTGTAGTGAGACCCACTGGCTTGTTTCTCAGTGCTGGGCATTCTGCTAAAGATAAACTTCGGTAGAAAGGTGATATATTGACAAAGAGACACAACGAATTCTGTGGTGAGTTTAGTGAAGTAAATCTCCCCTAGAAATAAGAAATGTGTGCAATGTATCGCAGCTTTTGAAATGTAATAGGCAAGTTTCATGAGCATTTTGTGGAGAAGATGGCCTGGCCCATTCTTTCATTCATTTGGATACATATTGAGGGTCCCATCCGCCACTGAGCAAAATCGCACCCACACTTAGTTGCATCTGTTCTCCCATTCTTCTTCCCTCTTTGTGCCTGCTGCTGTTGCTGATCACTCTTTCTCTTCCTGCTACCTGGCACCACTCCCCTGCACGTCCCCTCGCCTAGGCCCGTTCACACTTGCATTTCTTACCTCGCTTCTCCTTACCCTGCTTTTTCATTCATGTCGTCTATTTCATCAGGAAGAGAACAGTATCTCATGTCTCCCCCTTCCTTTTTTTTTATATTTATTTATTTACTTTGGTTGCACAGGGTCTTAGTTGGGGCAGGTGGGCTCCTTAGTTGTGGCAGGCATGTGGGATCTAGTTCCCTGACCAGGGATCGAACCCAGGCCCCTTGGCATTGGGAGCACGGAGTCTCACCCACTGCACCTCCACGGAAGCCCCCCCCCCTTCCTTTTTTTTTTTTTTTTTTTTTTTTTTTTGCGGTAGGCCGGCCTCTCACTGCTGTGGCTTCTCCCGTTGCGGAGCACAGGCTCCGGACGCGCAGGCTCAGCAGCCATGGCTCACGGGCCCAGCCGCTCCGCGGCATGTGGGATCTTCCCAGACCGGGGCACGAACCCGTGTCCCCTGCATCGTCAGGCGGACTCTCAACCACTGCGCCACCAGGGAAGCCCCCCCCTTCCTTTTAAATAGTCCAAAGTTTTCGTGTCCCAGCTCTGTCTTTTAATGAGAAAAAAATGTTCCATGCAACTTTGCCCTGAATTATCTGTCTCCTTATTCTCAAAACAAAATTAGCTAGAAAAATTGAGACAGACACTTTTTTTTTTTCCTGACTGGCCAGTGTTCCTTTTTCCCAGGTGAATCCAAAGCAGAATATATCTAAGACACAGAACTGCAAAGATTGACCGATATGTAGGGGAGATTAACAATGGTTTTAAATATGGTGACTCTTGCTTCTTTTTTTCTCTTTTTATCAATAAGCTTTTCAGTTTACACTCAAAACTATTGAGAAAATATATTGCAGCATATTACTACATTTGCTTTTTAATCTGCAAAGCTTAGCTTTGTTTCTTGCCTGTTCCATGAACTGTATCTTGTGCTAACTAGATCCTGAGTTTCTCAGAAGCTGGTGAACTTCATCCCTACATGTGCTCTTAGGCATTTGACAGATGCTCAGTGTATTCTGGGGGTTTTTTTTGGTGAATGAAAGGAAAACACTAGTTTTTTAAACAGCTATATTGATATATAATTTACAGAACAATATAATTCACTATTTTTAAGAGTATAATACGATGGTTTTCAATAAATATACAGAGGTGTGCAACCATCACCACAATCCAGTTTTGGAACATGTCCATCACCCCAAAAAGATCATTGTGCCCTTTTGCAGTCACTCTTCATTCTTACCCTGAGCTCCAGGCAACCACCACTCTACTTTGTGTCTCTATGGATTTGCCTGTTCCGGAAATTTCTTATAAATAGACTCATATAATATATGATCTTTAGTGGCTGGTTTCTTTCACTTGGCATGTTTTTGTTTTGTTTTATGTTCAGGGAAAGACTAATTCCTCATTTGTTTCCCCTGTACTAGAATTCTACAGAATAATATTGGGAAGGTATAACAAGCATTCGAAATTGGATGGTCTCTTTTTTCAACAAAATTGTAGCAAATCCTTTGCTGACTTGAAGGATTTGGGACCCTGCAACAGGGGGACACACTAAGGGCAGGAAGAGCTAGCCTTGCAGTTTCACTAAGTTACAACCATGACTCCTTCTGTTATGACAACCACGACTGTGTTCTTAGGGATCAGAGTAGAATTACTCATTACCGTTTGCTGAGCCCTTACTGTACGGTGGGTACCACACTAAACCCTTGTTGAGGATTGCTTCATTAATTGCTTTATTAATACAAAACTTTCCAAGGAAGGAAACTAAGACTGAGAGATTTTAACTGAGAGGTTAAAAACCACTTGCCCAAGATCACATAGTTAGTAGATATCAGACTGAAACTAGTTCTTTCAGGCTCCAGAGCCCATTTTCTTCTTAACCTGTATGCTCTCTTACTAATGAGACGCTGAAAAACCAAAACTGGCCATGGAAACCAAAAAAGCACAGCTGCTTGCAGCCAGGCACAGTGGGCTGGGGTGCTCTGCTCCCTCAGTTGCCCCTGTGCCCTCACTCATTCCTGCCCCACGAGAGAATTCTCTTCACAGTGGGCAGTCAGTACTCTTAGAAGTCCGGTTTCCTTATCCAAGAAGTTAGAGAAATGTGACATTTTAAGAATGAGTTCCACCTCGAAAGTTCTGTTTCCTTGAAGGTAGAAGTTAATTATCTGGGAAATGTGTTTATTCAGAACAGCTCATGGCCAGATAAAGGAGATGTATGTTAACAAACCAATTTGTGATTTTGGTTACAAGACGGTGAATCTTAAAATAATGTGCCAGGTTAATCTCCCTTATTATTATGATTTTTTATAAATTTATTTTATTTATTTTTGGCCACATTGGGTCCTTGCTGCAGTGCGCGGGCTTCTCATTGCGGTGGCTTCTCGTTGCAGAGCATAAGCTCTGGGGCGTGTGGGCTTCAGTAGTTGTGGCTCACGGGAAGAGCGCAGGCTCAGTAGTTGTGGCACATGGGCTCAGTTGCTCTACGGCCTGTGGGATCTTCCCAGACCAGGGCTCGAACCCGTGTCCCCTGTGTTGCAGGTGGATTCTTAACCACTGCACCACCAGAGAAGTCCCAATCTCCCTTATTTTGCAGAAAGAAGTTGTAAGAATGGGTTATAAAGTTATTCCCAAAGAAACTGATGTTCCAGTACTTTTCTTCCCTTTTGTGTGTGTGTTCCTTATTCAATGGGGACTGTTCCTACAGCTTAGAAGAAACTTCCCAATTTGCCTGTCTTCCTGGAAAAATCCTCCTCATGTCCTAAAATCTTCCCAGTCAGAAGCTGGACTCAAAACAACAAATAAGGCACTACCCTATGTCCCTCTGCAAACATTTACAGATGAGGAGATGATGATAAAGAGCACAGGTGAGTGAACTTCTCAATTTCACCACAGTATTCCTCTGGTCATTACTTGGGCCTACAATGTGAGATCACATGACATGTGACATGATTGGGAGAGGTGTTCATCTAAGTTTGTGAATGGAATTTTTGACATTAATTTAAAAAAATTTTTGAAAAAAAAGTAATACATGTCATATTAATAAAATAAAGACTTAGCAGTATTTTTTTTTT